CGCTCACAATGCGAACTTGCAATCTATGTGCACTACGAGATATTTTCTGCTGCTTTTATTTTCATACCCTTTCCAGAGGGCATTATCACTTTTCTAAGGATTTTTTAAAAAGCTATCCTTTAGATTTTTTGATTTCTTAGCTTAAAGGACATTAATATTTAGATATTTAAAATCCTTATAAGCCATTTAAAGGATCAAAACAATTTAGCTAGATGGTTAAAATGACAAAGATCTTAAGAAAAAATAGAAAAATAAAATGGTGTAAGTTCAAATTAATAAGATATATTTCTTCTGCAAGTTAAAGGGTATTACAATTTCATCCTGACGATTTCAACTTTATTCTGTTGCTGCGGTGCTGTTGATGTTGCTGCTGCCGCTGTTGCTGCGGTGCCGTTGCTGCTGCACTGGACGCAGGACACGGAGGCAGGCAGGACCTTGTGGGCATGTGCCATATATCCTGGCATTGCACTGGCTGCCGTTGCGGGATTTTGGTACAATTTGCCTTCTGTGTTTTGCCCCCTTTTTTCCTTTTTTTTTTTTATTTTTGCGCAAAGCGAGGGGGCGGCTCTATATGTCAGTTGATTTCATTTCACTTTTTTTTTTAGCTTTTCTGGCGGTCCTTTTGCAACCTCGTTTCATGCCAACTATTAGTGGAGCTGCCATTTTTTCGCCTTTTGATACACCGAACGAGAGAGAGCAATCCATGGCGGAAAATGGAAACCTTGACAGTTGCATTGTTTCCTGGCGCTGACAGAAAAAAATAACAATACAAAGCGAGGTACGAAATACGCGGAACGCTCTCGCCTATTTGCATTGCGTAATGGAAAATCATTCAACCTAGGGGCACACAACCCTTAACCGAATACGAATTTTGGATTGCCAGTTCTCTTCAGAACAACACTGACCTGTCCCATACACATAACATCTATACCCATAAAATCCCAATCCCACGAGGAGCCTTCAAGAAACATCTGCACAAACAACAACAAGATGCAGCCGGCTTTTGGGCCATAATTTTCTCTTAGATGGTTCTTAAGTTCCTAAGTTCACGATCCCGAGACAAGTTCTTCATAGTTGGGATTTCTCTACTTCTACTCATCCCCAAAGTTGCTGCAAGTTTCTCTTTCTCTTCTCTCATGTGCATTCTGCAGTTTTTTCTTATTTTTTCGCTCTTATTTGCTTGCTGCGTGTCCTTTGTGAGGACAGCAAAGGACATTCACACTGCAAGCAGCCACAATAAAAAAAGGCGAACGGCAAAGGAGACCAGAAATGTATCTGACAGTTGGTGCTGCAAAAGTATTTGAAAAATGAATAAAATGTGTGCAAAAAAAAATAAAAACAGAGTAATATACAAAACATTACTAAATATGAAAAATGTAATACACTGCAATTTTAGCTAGATTTATTAAGGAATTTTAAAAAAGTAAAGTAAAAAAAATGTCTTCTAAAAATTAATGTTCAGGTCTTTCCTCCCAATTTAACCATTTATTTGCTTGTAAAAAAATAGAGTAATTAAAAATATTAACTAAAGTAAGTGCACTATAAGAAAAGTATGTTTTATAACCTCTGTTATGTATAGTTTTGGTATAGTAAATCAATTTGTTTTCAAAATAGTTTAATCTAAGATTACATGCATTTTTTTTATCTGTTAATTTTTATAATTTCAGCACAAACATTATATTGAAATAAAAGTATTTAATCGGGCTGGGTAAATTATTATTAAATTTTTATTTTTTAATCTAATGGATACTTAATTTTTAACAAAAAATTCTCATGAAGTAGCAAACTTTTAGATCGATTTAATGTACCCTTTGCATATTCAGACTACACTTCAACTTCTCCAAGGGCAAACACTAAAGGATGAGTGAAAATCTGTTTCGTGAAGTTGAATGCTCCGCGAAGATGCATGGCACATCCGCCAGGACGCCGAAAGTATCCTGTGGATACGAATATGTGGATGCGCATCCTCGCCACGTTTTAATTTATTTCATTCCGTTCAAGATCCGCCAGTTGGCCGCTGCTTGTTTTATTTTACTATCTCGCAGCTCCAAAGGAGCCTTGCCGAGTATCTTAGTATCTCAGTATCTCAGCATCCGAGTATCTGGGTATCTCAATTCGGTTTTTTTTCGTTTTCTTGTATCTCAGAGTGGCAAATGCACACGTAATACGAGTAAAGCAAGCCAAATGCATTAACGGCTGGAAAGAGAGGGCTATATGTCGAGTGAAAGAGAGCGGTATACTCACCCATACAGGCGCGTTTGCACGTATATATATATTTTTATTTGTGCCATTACAGCCCTCGTTGTTGTACGAGTTTTGAGTTTTCCGAAACTGAAATCATGAAAGGAGCAGATGTTAAATTTTTATACACAGCGCACAACAACAACGACTGCTGCTTCTGGCTGTTGTTGTTGTAGTTGTTGCTGTTGATGCACTGTGGCTGTTGTTGTTGATAGCCATCTCTTTTGCTCTCCACTCGGTTGCCAGGCAGCCGCAAATGCTGCCCTCTCTTTCGCACCGCTTTTGCTGGCAGAAACTTCAGCTGCTCTCTGTTGTTGTTGGTCTTTCAAGGGATAAGCGGGAGGGGTGGGGAGGGGGTTGCCAAAACAAGGGGGAAGGGGTAGAGGAGATCTGGATATTGACCGTCCTTTAAGGAGCCTGCAGCTCAAAAAGATTCACTGGCAAAATCAAATTTCAGACAAGCGAATCTTATAAGAAAATATGAAAAAAACTTTCATAATTTTATGCTTTACATACTATTTTAAATTTATATTATAAATTTGGAATTATATCTTAAAACCTAATGTATGCACTAAGAACATAATAATTATCCATTTAGTAGTAAGTAAAAATGAGCAGTAAAAACCTTAATTTTATAAATGTATACAAAATTTTATTTTCGGAAAAATATATTTTTATGACTTCTACTTTTTATTATACCAAATCGGAGTGTAAGACCTCAATATTTATAATATAACCTGGAGTATATTTTATACTAAAAGATGATAAATTTATAAGTTTTTTAAAAAGAAATGTAGATTTTTCAATGATTAGAAGACAAGTCTCACTTAGTATTTACTTATTTTTTTTGGAATTATTTCCTGTTTCCCTAATCTGTAATTGCAACAATTTCACCGTTGCATCCCATGCGAGTTGGATATATTTTTGTTTTGTGGACTTATCCTTACCTGATTTGTCAATGCCTTTTTACCTGGTTGTCGACTGCGTATTGGAACAATAGTTTTCCATTTCGTGATGCTAATCATTGCTAAAACTCGGCACAATACAACTTGGGATCTCCCTCTCTCTCTTTCTTTCTCTCTGTATGCATTTTTGCTCTCGCTCACATACGTATATCCTTATAGAGGACAAATTAACCCTCGGCAGAGTCACGGGGTGTGAGAGGAGCCTCAATAGAGCTCGGTGGGTGGGTTCCGTCCCACTGTGCCAGTTGTGAATCGTTGCCAGTCGAAAATACCCACTGTGTGTCGGTTGTTCGAGTTGAATTTTCCATTTCACAACAGGTACAAAACATAGAAATTTCAAGCTGCAGAAGGACGAAAGGCTGTTGCACCTTTGGCTTAATTGAGATTTTCGGGCATGCAAACACTCGAACTCTGACTTATCAGTAAATATATATTCTCTCAGTGGTTATGCAACTGGGAATATTGCACAACTGGCTGCAAATATCGGTGATTATTCAGGTGTGTTTATATTTAGGTATTTATCAAGACACCTGGGATGGCGCTTGTATGTACTTTTCTTTGCAGAATTTTGTGTAAGTGCAGATCCTTATATTTTATGAGTTAATTAATGTGGGAATTTAAAAAAAATATTATTTAAGCTAGTATTAAATGCAGATGAATAGATTTTTTTCAAAGAATCCTACAGTAAAATCCTTAAAGTAAGAATATGCCTATAAACACCCATGACATATTGGAACAGGATCCTTAAACTTCAGCTGCTTCCTTCCATACTTTCTATCCTGTCACCAAATGGGGACATCTGGAGCACTTTTTGGTGTCACAGATGTACGGATGCATGGGGCATACATCATCGGGTAATAATATCGACCATCAATACGATATCCTCAGAGACCGCAGGTCCTCATCCGTATCTTTCCTTTCCCCCCGAAAACAATCCATGTATGAGTGGCCCCCTTTTTTTGTTGAGCCACCGTTTCGTGCGCGTGACACCTGATGTTATTTTACGATTATTGTCTCTGGATTTATGGAACGCAATTGCATTTGCAGCAACGGCAGGTGTTGTTTCTGTTGTTGTTGCTACCAATGTTTTTGCCGCTGCGGAAATTCTCATTTCACCATTTCACAATTAAAAGTTGCGAATCCTTTGGGGCTTTGCGCCAGCAAAGGAATAACTATATTAATTAAAAACCACAAAATCCGATTTGCACTATGCCCAGGGCTTAATAAAATTGTTTGCTGGAAATCATCCTGTGTATGTATGTATTTTGTGGGAGCTGTATTTCTGTGGGAGCTGTGATTGAAAGTGTGGAGTTTACTCGAATTTATGAAGGTAATTAAATTTAAAATAGGCTAAAATAATATTTTAGATCTGTGATAGGAAAGTATAACCATTTCAAGTTGGTTTAAAATTAAGAATAAATCTTTTTAATGTTTATTTTCGCTAAAATAAATGGTATAATATTTTGTAATAAATACTTTTTCATTTATTTTATTTCCCATAATAAAAAACAATTGTTTAACTACAAAAAAAGCATCGCTTTGAATATTTGTTTATTTGATATCCATTAGATCATCGCTCACAGGGTAAGACTAATGCTACTATGCAAAACTCAATGGGACTGTGTGGGCATAAATCCAATTTTGCATGCCTCACTCGATGTTTTCGATTTTAAATTACATTTTTAAGAACTACATTGTGTGTTTGTGTTTGTGTAACTACATGAGAGAGATTTATATATTGAGTGTTTTTTGTGTTATGTGTGTGTTTTCGTATCATTTAGTTATCAGATATGAATTTCGCCAAAATGATTTGCCGCCAAAGGACATTCAATGCTGCATCCTCTCGTCCTTCTGACTCCTTTGACTCCCATTTGGAACCATTTAATTGGCGGCTATCGTGCAGACACAGCAACTGGGAAACCAAAACGTGTCCTGGTACAGATTCTGCCCATTGCCCTGGAGCGCAATTAAGCGCTTTTGCACAAACTTCTGCTCGCATCTCGAGTTGTAGCCGTTGGGCAATTCGCACAGGTTTGAGCAGGTGTTCGAGCTGAAAAATACGGGAATAAACGTAAATAAACTGAAATAAGTGGCGAATCGAATGCGAGATACCCGAAAACGAAAACCAAATGCTAAAAATCAACAATTGTCGGCGAATTTAGTTGTGGGTTGCTGGGCATAAATAAAGAGCGCCGGCTGCGACTCCTGCGACTCCTTCGAAAGAAGAAAAAAAACTAAAAGGAGAGGAGAGGAGATCCCAGATCCCAAGTCGCAGAGTTGAAAGTTTAACGAACTCGTTAAAACGGGAATCGTACGTAATTGATAAGGAGTCGCAGTCCGAGCGGAAGCAGAAAAACGGTACAATCCCTGCACAGTGAAGAAATGTTATGGACTATTTGTGTTACTTATGAGTAATTTTTCAAAAAATTAACAATAAAATATTTATTTAGAATTTTTTAAAGGCTCTAATACACAAAAAAAGGTAGAAAACAACCAAAAAAAATATAACTTCTTTAAATAAAATTACGGAATGTATTATAGCCAAATTTACATTTTTTCATTAAATTATTCAATTAAATTAAATTCATTCAAGGAAAAACTTTTAATTGTTGTGACTATGTTTTTTCAATCTAGAAAATATATTTCAAGAAACTATAAATACTTTGGTTCTCATAAAATCAAGGAATTTTTAAAGCTTTTAAAATATTTGGTTTTAGGCGGCTTAGATACATTGACTCATCAAATATGTTTGATTTTTTCTGCCTGTAGTCCTGCTCCCAGCTGTTCCTTGGCCAAGATTTATGCGCGCCTGCGTAGGTCCTCCATTTGGCTAAACAAATTGCGCCAAGTACCGGGTTCAGTGCTAACAACAAGTGGCATTGAAAAGGGGGTAGGGAACCCCTCAATCCAGATGGGAAAAGGGACTCGATTCGAGAGACTGGGAAGAGCGGGACAAACGGGTAACAATTAGGGCAACGCGTTGACCCAAACCCAACCGACGAGGAATCAGAAGAGAACCACCTCACCCCGAATTTCAGTTCCTGGCATTTGTTTGCGCTTTTTCCGGACCAGAGGAAAGGTTTTCAAGTAGCGCACGCATCCAAAAAAAAAAAAAACGAAATAAAAAAGGGGAAGAACCAATGAGAGGGGAATGAAAAAGGGGACAAGGATATAGCCTAATGGTAGAATGGTAGAATGTGCCCTGCTTTGGCATTTCTCTCCCGTAATTTCGTATTTTCGGGGTGTGATAATTCGTTTAACCGCAATTATGACACCGTATAAACGGGCCTTAGTTCGACCTGCACTAACCACGTGCCCAGAACGAAAGAAGCAGAGTGAGGGATTTCCCCTAGTTTCTACAAAAAAATATGGAAAAAAGAAGGGGAAACCTTGGGCGTCCCGCTGCGAATTATTAACATTTGGAATGGGGTTGGCATGACACCTTTTTTCCCACTGATTACAAGTGATGAAAGCAGCAAGGGGTGTGGAATCAGGGGATCGGGGGAAGGATTCGAAATAATGAGCGACAAAGGCTACTTCAAGGACGGCTGGGTGGACAAGTCACTTCACTCACGTTATTATCCCCTAATGCTACAAAATTAATTATCCAACTGAATACAAATAACATCTGGTTAATAACAAAATTAACAATACGTTCAAGTTCTAAACAAACAGTACCATTATTTGTTTTAAGAAAAAAATTAATTATTTTAAACTATAGGAATTTTTAATGGCTTATTAAATGCATTGTTTAATAGCTTCAAAACTGTGGGCGTTAGAGGGGGCTTGCGGGCGTTGCGTAGGAGCTCCTGGAATATTCATGCAAAATGCCAATCTTCTAGCTTTTATAGTTTCCGAGATCTCAGCGTTCATACGGACAGACAGATAGACGGACAGACAGACAGACAGACAGACAGACAGACGGACAGACAGACGGACATGGCTAGATCGACTCGTTTTGTGATGCTGATCAAGAATATATATACTTAATGGGGTCGAAAACGTCTCCTTCACTGCGTTACAAACTTCTGACCAAAATTATAGTGCCCTCTGCAGGGGTATAAAAATTCGACTTGGCCCATTGTGCACTTAGTGAAGACAACATCCCAATCTAGAGAATGCTCCTCAGCAGTGACTACACCCTTTCTACACGCTCTACATCTTACTCGAAATATACATTGTTTCTACATTCTACATTCCGACCCCATAAAATATATATATTCTTGATCGGGATCACTAGCCGAGTTGATCTAGCCATGTCCGTCTGTCCGTCTGTCCGTCTGTCTGTCTGTCCGTCTGTCTGTCCGTCTGTCTGTCTGTATGAACGCTGAGATCTCGGAAACTATAAAAGCTAGAATATTGACATTTTGCATGCAGATTCTAGAAGTTCCTACGCAGCGCAAGTTTGTTTCAAAAGGGTGCCACGCCCCCTCTAACGCCCACAATCGCTTATATACGATTTTAAAAATTTCAATATTTTGGAAAAGTACAAATGCAGTTTTGTTGTGTTTATCAATACCTATCGAAATGTAGAAGAAATTTTTTAAATCGGACCATTCGTTAAAAAGTTACGGCGGATCAAAGTTTTTATCTCCATCTCCTTCGCATTCCCTTTAGTTCTCTCTTGTTTAATGATAATTTTGGCATTAATTTTAAATATTTTCTAAGACAAGGGGTAAAACCAGTTTTTTTTTTAAGATTAATTTAACTGCAATTTATTTTAATATTAATTATTATAATATTAAATATTTGTAATCTGCGGACAATGTGGCACTTACGAAACAATCCAATTAAATTAGCCTCCTTCGATTACCCATAACTCCCCAAAACTGGTACTTACGCACAAAGCTCAGCCTTGACCATCTGGCGAGCGGTGTTCTGCTCATTGACCACGAACATCCAGTTTCCGCGACTGTTGAGCGCCGCCTGGGGGGTGATGAACTGCGAGGTCGTCTGGCAGAGGGTGGAGCGTCCGGGACTCTGGCGCTTTGTCCTCGAATGCTTCTTCAGCGGACTGGGCGCATCCACGCCCACGATGTCCAAGAGATCTAGGTTAAGTGAGACATCTCGCTTGCTTTGCTGATGATCCTCCTGCGGTTCATCATCCTCCTCCTCCTCTTCATCCTCCTCAGCCTGCTCGTCCTCCTCCTCCACCACCTCCTCCTCCACTTCCTCGTCAGCTTGCCTCTGCTTCCGACTGAGATCCCTGACCAATCTCTTTAGCCAGAGGGTGGCATTGTAGGGAGTCGACTTGCCGCCCTGATTGAAGTACAAGTGACCGCCGGCGGAGGTTGAGGTCCCTCCGCCCTGGGAATTGTAACGCTGTCCCGCACGATGACCTCCTCCAGAAGAGGTGTACAGGAGATACCTTATAAATCCCAGGGGTTTCAGAAAAAATATATTAAATTCACGATAAATCACAGAAAAAATTTTAAAATAGATTAATTTAACAAACAAATGAGTAAAAATAGCAACAATGAAATTAAATTTAAAAGGAAATTACAAATCTCAAGTTGTTTTTAAAAAGTCCAATAAAAACTAATTTGAAAATTATAGGACAACAATAAGCCATTGAAATAATTCTCATTTTTAAAGCTTAAAAACTATAAAGTTTGTATAGCATAATTATAATTATTTCCCATTTACGGGTGCATTGTATATTTCTTCTTTGAAGGCCAAAACTTAAAGTACTGTTTGCGTTATAGTTTTCTCTTTTCTGTTGTTCCATAAACAAATCGAATTCTAATAAAGACCTTGAAAATCTTAGAAAATCATTTACCTGAACTCTCGAGTTTAAATTGCTGGTCATATGTACGTTAAAGCCGCATTTTTTCATTATTTTTCGTTTTACTCACGTTGGCGCTTCCGTAGAGGGATTGCTGGCGAAGAGGGGGTTGCCACCACTGACCCTCTGTGGATTGCCCCCGAAGGGCGTCTGATAACTGTATCCATTGAAGTCCTGGGCATTGGGATCGCGGGGCGGAAAGATGGACTTGGGATCGTAGAAGACGGGGGTATCGTGCCACGCCACAGCCGCGAAATCCTCCCAGGTTTCGTCCACCAGCAAAGTGCTGGCCTCGTAGCCCCACTTGCGAACGAGGCTCTTAATGAGATACCTTAAAGAAATTAAAAGTTTATTTTTAAAGATTTTTGATGGGCTTTGAATATGATAAATTAATTAATAATAAATTTAAATAACAATTTATGTATTAAAAGGATAACTTTTCCCAAGATTTTACTGTAACAACAATTACAATATTTATTTAAAGATTTTAATATTTAGTAAAAGTGTGTAAAAATTAAATGTTCAAATTAATATTAATTAACTTTATTTCAAATGTCTAACATTATTAATAAGTTTCTGTAACTCAGAGATATTGTTTTCTGTGTAGTGTGTACAATTTGTAGCTCTTGTTAACGAGTGGAAAATGACCTTATTTTTTCAGATTTTTTGTTTTCCTGCGTGCAAGAGGGAAACAATGAGTGATGCAAGCTGCTTGTGATGGTTAACGGGCTGGGAAAGCGTGTACCAGAGTATCGGTTCGGAGTATCAAAGTATCAGCCACTTGTCGGAGCCTCCGCATTATGCAAGTCACAGAGCGACTGACTGACAAGTGCCAGAAATTGCCATGGAAATGGTAATTGCGGCGTTGCCCAAGCCAAATAAAATATGAGTATCATAATTAATATGCGGCCGCCGGGCAAGAAAGAAAAAAAATATTTTGGGAGGCGCAGACATCGTAAATAATAAATTGGCAGTGTAGCAGCTTTTTTAATATGTTTATTTTAGTGCCTTCCTTATCAACAACAACATCGCATGCCCGTCACGTGCCGCCAAAAACAGGCAGAAAAATAAAAGGTAAGGGTTAAGGGGCGGTTAAGGGAAAGACCCCACCTTTATTAAAAAAATATATATATTGTAAAAACCCGCTTGGGGCTTTCCCATATGATATCTTTTTTTTTGAAGAATTATGCAACGCACAGAAATTCCAATGCAAGCGTTTGTAATAAAAATGCCTATTTAATTGCCGCGTCGGCGCCGAGGGCTTATCAAGCCATTCACATTACCATTACCAACTAACTAACGCACATATTATTTAAATCCGACCAACGAAGAAATGCTCTAAAAATAGACCCAGCAAACCAACAAACATGGCCAACCACTCGAGCGAAGGCGGATGATAATATATGATAAACAAACAAACCAAACAACAAATTCGAGTGCCATCTTTGGAGCACGTAAGACAAAAGATGCACTCGGCGGGGTCAAGTGGTGAATAATGGATGCTCTTTCATTGGATTTTTAATTTTATTTAATCTATTTTGTATTCATTGTGTGTGATTTGTTCGTTGGCAACAAGATAGCGGGATAGGAAACATAAATTTTAAATCTATAGAAATAATATACGATCTGAAATAATTTTAGGGAATATAATTGTCCCTTGCAGTTCAAGATATTTGGATTTTAGTAAATTAGCCTTAGGTACTATCTCATATAAATATTTTTTTAAGAATTTATTAATTAATTATTTATTAATCCCTAAAATATTTTAAGTTATTCCTCAATACATTATTCCTTAAGACCTCAAATGGCCTAAGTCTTATCCGATATATAATAAAACAAGAGAGAACGCTATAATCGAGTGCCTCGACTATTAGATACCCGTTACTCAGCTAAACAACTTAATAGAAATATGCCTCCTTTTTTGTTTTTCGAAGCTGGAATTAGCTCCCGTTTTTTACCCAGGGAACTCCACGTGGAGGCCTTCTAAAACTTTCAATTCTGCCTAGCACATCTTCCGTCTCTCTCTAGCGCAGGTGAATGCACTTGTGAAAAACGAATACGAGCAAAAAGAGACAAAATGCGCGCCCTTTTCAAATAATTTAAAATTTGCAATAACATATTGTGAATTAGTGTGACCACAGAAAAAAAGGACAAAAAGTTCAAATTAACCATCTGAATAGATGGCGCTATTGTATATTGAATTGAGCCATCTACCCCAAGATATTGGTACTACTGGCCATGAAAGGCGGAAATGTAGGCGCTAGACAGGTTTAAGCGTTAAATGGGTTTTGCGGGCGTTAGAGTGGGCGTGGCAAACTTTTACTTGGCCAATCGATATGTATTGACGAAACAAATACATATCAGTTACTATTTTCATAATAGCTTCAAAACTGTGGGCGATAGAGAGGGCTAGTGGGCGTTAGAGGGGGCGTGGCACCTTTTTGAAATAAACTTGCGCTGCGTAGGAACTCCCAGAATCTGCATGCAAAATGCCAATCTTCTAGCTTTTATAGTTTCCGAGATCTCAGCGTTCATACGGACAGACGGACAGACAGACAGACGGACAGACGGACAGACGGACATGGCTAGATCGACTCGGCTAGTGATCCTGATCAAGAATATATATACTTTATGGGGTCGGAAACGCTTCCTTCTACCTGTTACATACTTTTGCACGAATACAATATACCCTTTTACTCTACGAGTAACGGGTATAAATATTTCCAAAAGATCAATAACTCGATAGCCAAAATGTTTTATTCATTAAAAAAATCACGTTGTTCTCCAAAATCTGAAAAAAAATCTAAAGCACACCCAAAATACCCTGGCTCACGCGCCAAATTGCCGGTCTAAGCAACTTATGATGCCCCGAAGACACGATTATTCATTGGAGGCATTCATAAATATTCGAGAAGCACGCGGCCAGTCGTCGCATAGTCGCCAAAGTTATACTACACATATATACTTACTGGTAGGAGCCAAACAAAAAGTGTCTTGAACTGTCAATTCAAGTTTATTGGGTCAAGGAATTCCCCCAGCTGGCTGAGAGCAGAAGCACCCAAAAAAGCAGCCTCAGTTCGAGTATCTGAGTATCTGAGAGCTTGTCGCGGAAGCAGCCACAAAAGATACTCACTCGATGCTCGTATGCTAATGCGCTGCCAGCGAACAAGTTTCCATTTCGATGGCGAATTAAATTGAAACCGAAATTGTCTCGTGGCCAAACATTTGTTTGAAATGCATTTGAATGAAATTGATTGAAGGCAGTGGCGTAGGCAGGAACTCCTAGAAGGGGCTTATTCTTTTGTGGATTCTCCACCCCTCCAAGTATATAAATCCATGATTAACTCAGTTTTCTGACATAACTGAAAACTCATGAGAATATTATTTAATTTTTCCCCTGATAGTTTCATATGTTATATATTAAATAAAAACCAATTAAGAAGCGTCGATTTCAAGAAAACTGTTTTAATCGGGTCTAAATGGTTCTGCAGGGAATGTTATTATGTTTCAAAAATTAACATTCAGAATATTAATTCCCATGCGAGTCCGAATGGTTTTTTAGGGAGTTTTATATAGCGTATCATTCTCTTTGCTGTCGCATTTAAAATTTAATGGTTGTCGAGGCAAAGCTATTTAAGCTGCAAATTAATCAAATCGAGTCTTAGTCAAGTTAAGTTACCACACAGAAAAAATGGGTTTATTATTGAAATTATCCCTTGCAGTATTTGTTCAAAATATTGTGAATTTAAGGGCGGATATTCCTAACTGTGACTACTTCGATACCGTCGATATTTCGCATTTAAAAATAGTCAACGATTCTTATAGATACAATGGCCTAGAAATAAGTACTAATCGAACAGGGGATTACAATTACAAAAAGTTAATAACCGGACCCCAAGAGCCTGTGACAAAGCATTTAAGAGCCTGCGTTTGCGAACTGAAGACCTGTGTTCGAATCTGTTGCCCCCGCAAAAATATGTTGGCACATGGAAAGTGTAATAACGATGGCTTTAATGAGGAGATTGGTTTACCGATGCTAAATCTAACTTTAAGTGACGCAAATGATGTGTATCCAACTGATGAGGAGCTAAGACTGGCGCCACAGTCATATTTTTCCGACTTGATGGTACTAAGAGATCACACTCAAAATAAAATTAACCCTAAAGTCAAGGAAATCGCCCTACTTTTGTCTTCAAGACAAGCTCGCCCTAAATTTTAGGGTCACATTTTTCTATATTTTTGATTTTTTTTGACGTCATATTTCTAAATTTTAGGGTAATTTTACTAAATTTAAGGGCAAAAATTTCTAAAAATTAGGAAATTTTCCTAAAAAATAGAAATTAAAAGCAAAACAAAAAAACATGTTCAATCATGATTTTTTTTTGTATATACGTTTATATTATGTACTCCTCCCTATATACATATGTAGGCGTTGTGTGTCAAGTATATTGTGAATGTTAAAGGTTATGTATTTATTATTATGTATTTGCGCTTGGATTTCTTATCTAACCAAAGCCAAATGTGGTTGTAAATGTAGACTACGGGACTGCGGAAGATTGGGAATGAAGAAATTATGATTAGTTAATATTTTATATTCATGAAAAAAACTTACAATTTTTACTTGTCCGTCGTGAGAATCGAACCCGGGTCTCCCGCGCGAGGAGCGAACGGCCTACATACTGGGCCATTGTAGCACTTAAACTTGCTGTGGCAAACCGAGCATTGTATGTAAAGGGTGAAGCGGACAACACATTTGAATACTAATTGCATAATTTTGACCATTCGCGTTTTACTTATTTACATACGTATATACATATGTATATATTTATGCTAACGCAATTTATATTATGTGTAGTATATAGTAAATAGCTGAATATAAACCTAATTATTTTTAGTTTACCGCTTGCCATCAATAAAAAAAGGAATAAAAAAAGTAAAAAAATAAATAAAAAAAAAAAAAGAAAATAAAACAAATAAAAAAAAATAAAATAACATAAAAAAAAAAGGTTAAAAAATTTTGCTCTGGGACTCGAACCCGCGTCGATTCGATTGCTAACCAAGTGCTTTAACGGTCTGCGCCACGAGTACAGCCGGCCGGCAGCTGACAAGTTCTGGCATTGAACATTTTGGTGTGCCAGAGCATGTAAAAACAAATATTTCTATTTTTTAGAAAAAATTTCTACTTTTTAGAAAATGTTTCTATTATTTAGGGTTGGTTTCATTTTAGGGTTAGGGCACAAATTTTTAGAAAAGGTGTTGCCAAAATATTTTATTATTTTCGTTTGCCTTTCTATTTTTCAGAAAATAATTTCTAATTTTAAGGGCATTTTTTCTAGATTTTAGGGTGATTTTAGTTCATGGTAACCATTTTCTACATTTAAGAAAAACTTCCTGGATTTAAGGAAAACTTTCTTGACTTAAGAAAAATTTCCTTAGATTTAGAAATAACTTTCTTGTATTTAGAAAAAAGAAATTTTAATGGCGATTTTCTAAAATTTAGGGTTAAATTTATTTTGAGTGCAGTTTCATATGTGCGATGAGGTGGTGGAGTTGACTGAAGATGAGTACGTGATATTCAAGGTTGGTCTTTTGATACTCCAAATGTTTCTGCATTCCTAATACATACATACTCCTTAGGACGGAACCCTATATCAATACAACACCGACGAGGTATTATACAAAGAAAACTACTGTCTTTATCCCCAATTTCATTCGGACTTTCGGAAGTCCTTGTGGGTTGTCAAGCACAGATGTGTTAAAGTGTGGCCCACTGCGTATATCGAAAGTAAGGAGGTTTATTAGTAAATAAATAACCCTGTCTTAACCGATTCAAACCTTCTAGTCATGGTGATATCCCTTATCTGCTACCTCCTCACCTTTTCTGTGTACCTGTACGTTAAGAAGCTCCGAAATCTCCTGGGCAAGTGTCTCATCTTTTGCTTTTTTAGCAAGTCTGTTGTGGATCTACTCAACATATTGAGTAAATTGAATTGGCTGAACCAATTTTGCTTATTAACAGGTTGGCTATAAGAATTTCTGGATCCTGAACTTCGTGATAATATTTGTTACTTTTCTTAGGTTACAGTTTTCATTTCTTTACTACAGTGGCCAATCACTGGGATGCTGTTATCAGCTTTCATTTATGGAAACTACTGACTTCTATGGGTCGTGAGAAGCCTCGTCATCAGTTTCTTAAATACTGTGTCTTCGTTTTGAGCACAGCTGCTGTCCCAACGGGAGTGATATTCGTAATGAATCACATCTGGGAGAAGGATCTCGGCAAATGGAACTGGATGCCCTTAGTGGGTTATTCTGAATGCACCGTGAAAGGTTTAAATTCAATAAGCATTTATATATGCTTCTGCCATATATTTCCCTTCATTTACAGTTTTGGGGCCCTCATCCTGGATATACCTAGATGGACCTGTACTGATCCTTACCACATTCAATGTGATTATGTTTGTACTGACCTTCATTCACATTTGGAAAACTAAGGGTGAACTGCAAAGTTTCAAAAAAGATGAGGAGAGAACGGCAACCTGCCTAAACCTGCCTAAACCTGCCTATGGACACTGAGAGGTAAGAACTAATCGTCTTAGCATTTTATTTAATCTTGTTTAATATATTACCAATTCCTATCTCAGTTACCTATTGTTTTTGCGGCTCTCTGTTATCATGGGCGTGATTTGGATCCTGGAATTAATTATGTTTTTTGACATTGGCAACCGTTTCTTGGGGCCTCTCGATGTCTTTCTCTCATATTTCGAACGTAGTTATGGAATTATCGTTTTTATAATGCTTATACTTAAACGCAGTACCTTAAAACTGCTTAAGGAGAGGTAAGTCCTTTGTTTTTCAGACAGATTTTCAAGTAATCAGTTTTATATTTCCCCAGAATTCGGAGACAGCGATAGTTTGATCAGTGTTATTAAACTTAAGTTCTCAAAGTTGAAACAGATATACTTAAGTGTACAATTATTCTTAGAAGTTTTATAATAACTATCATAAAAATAAAATATTTATTTTTGATTATCAAAAAAGAACTATATAATCTTAAAGGCCATTTCAAGCATTATTGGCCAGAAAAACTAATCTTTATTCTGCATTGTTAAGTGTCCCTAAAGATTATTACTATCTATCTATCTTTCTAAAAATTATAAATAGTTCAAGATTTTCTATAAAAAATCTATATAAACTCCCAGTAGTTTCCTGGACTATTTTGACTTACGTGGGATAGTTATCGGCGTGTTCGCAGTACGTCTTTCCTGGACGGGCGCAGGTGGGCGTTTGACCAGGTGGCGCCGGGAGAAATTGGCAAGGCGGCGCTCCATAAAGGCCGCATGGCGGGGGCGAGCTGTGGGCGTTGACTGTATAAGCTAATATCTATAAAAAAAATATATTTAAAATATACTAATAAATATCAAACAGTAGCGATAAGGAATACTCACCACATAGGTAAGAAGAACTCGGTTACAACTAAAAGGCGGCGGACGTTTAATACTCTTTGTCATTGTCAATTCATTCGTCGTCGATTTGCATTTGCATTTGACTCGATTGCGATTCAGCAACTGTCTTCGAACGCCTAAAGTCTGAAGTCTGAAATCTGGAAGCGAAAGAGAAACTGCCGTTGAATTATTTGGACAAATATTAGACGCGAAAAAATAAATGGGCAAATACAGTGCAATTTTTCACACCATTTCCATGGGGACACGAAAAGCAGACAATAACTGATGATGGTTTTTCCGCAGCGGAAATGCCTCAAAGTGCTTATTTGTTTTGTGCAGAATTCACTCTTTTGGGCTTATTGTTAAGTCAAACAATCAGCAACTAAAACAATAACATAAACACGAACTACACAACCGACAACCTCTAAAGCAAACAACAGGCAAACACCCAAACAACTCGAACAACTCCCGTAAATAGCGAAAATAAATTGCCAAAAGTGAAAGTGACGAACAGGCGCCCGAGACAACAAGATTAAGTATACGTAGATTAAGTATACGCCGCGAAGATAATGGACTGGTCACGCCCACAACCATTGTGGGGGCGTTCTCAATTGGCAAACCGAGCTGTCGGCTAATGACAATATTTATAAACTCTAATGATTTATTAGCGCTTCTAAACGGGGTTTTAAAGTGGCGGTATTTAAATGAAGAATAATGGGATGTTTTTGGTCCACTTAAGATTAGATTGAAATGTTCTAAGGAATTTAAATTAATAAAAATACGTAGTTACCAGTAATAACAATTAATTAAATTTATTTGGCGTGTTAATTGAGGAAACTTAATGAGAACTATTAATATCATGAAGTTATTCGCAGTTTAATAAAATAATTTAGAAGGAAAAAATTCCCTAGATAATCACACTCGTAAAATCGGAAAAAGTGGAACTTCCCCAGTTCATTTTTTATAAATGGTAGAAAATATACATGTAATGAAGCTAAAAATAAATCAAAAATATATTTTAATTATTCTAAAGCCATGGCAATAAGTGATCAAATCAAAAGCTGTCACAATCAATGTTAAAAACCGGATTTCGTGTCAAGCTCTGCTTTAGTTTCAATAAAAATGTGTACCACAATTATTTATAGAAAAAAATAGCCATAACAATTCTCTTAAACAGCCCGCCTGTTATTGGGGTGCCAGTAAAAGCAGTGGGCATTCAAGAATTATTAGGAATTTATACCGATACAAAAACACCTGCCAGCAAGCTGCGATAGGATTTCCGGGATCACAGGCTCTTTTGCACAAGCCAAGCAAAACAAATCAGTCAACAATCAAGCGCCAATGACAAAGTGTCTGGCCAAGTACACAGAAAAAAAAGAAACATTATGGATCTTTAAAAAGACATAGGAAAAAAACTGTATTTTAAAGAAATATTAATAGGCTTAAATGCTCTTGACAATAGTTTTATAAATAAATTTATTTCAAAAAATCTTTATTCTTAAAATTAATTCAATAATATTTCAATAAATATAATATTGTATTTTTGTAGTTTTAGATTTTTTTATGTTTTCAATTAAGTTAAATTAAATATGAAAAGTATTATCCCAAATATTTTTTTTGCAATATTTCACATTATATTTATTTTTCTCTGTGCATGGACCAGCTTTGTTTGGTGTTTGCGATCTGCTAATGGAGTCTTGCACATGGCTACACCCACGTACCGCTGGTATTTCCCCGATGCCAAAGTTGCGCCAGGCGATCACCTCATAAATCACATGGAGCGGCCAAAAAGAAGTTGGACATGGTCTCTGTTGGCATTGTCTCCCTTACCAACTTTAGTGGCTGTGTGTTTTATGGTGTGTTTTGGGCCATTTGCACATCATTAGGCCGACGGGCCAAAAGTTAATGAAATTGTTAAAGATCTTGGGCTAAGCTTTTGGCGGCTAATCCATTGGCTGCGGCTCCATTTTCATAAATTGAGTGCTCAATTTCGCTGGGCTCTATTCAATTTATTTGAATGATTTGGCCGCAAAATCATCTATCTATATTTAATTGATTATTATATTATAGCCCGCCTGAGTAATGATCGATTGTCGGATCTTTATCTTTGTCTCGCCCAGACATTCTCACTTATTCACCCTATTGGCACTTTTTCATGAGTCGAGGGGTGAGTCTAGATATTTTGTTTGCAACTAATTGAAGTATTAGCGGGGTACAAAAAATGCTGAATGAATTGAAATATTGTTAATTAATTAAATGGCTATTTAATTAAAAATGTTTAAATGTTTTATGGCGCTTTTATTAGAAAACAAAATGTTAGGCTTTTTAAAAAGAGGTTTAAACCTACTAAAAATTGTAGTCTAAAATTAATATATAAAATACTTATTTAATATAATAATGTTTTCGAAGATATTTCAAATACCATTTAATATTTTAAAGACAGACTTTAGTTTGGTTTTTTTTTCTTGGCAAGACCACCGACTCTTTTCCCGATTTTTTGGTGCCTCAATAATGCTGCCTTATTTAATTCCAATTTAGGGTCTAAAACAATGGATTCAATTTGAGCCAGACAAATAGCTGGTCTTCATTATAATTTTTTAAACATATATTTTATGCCTGCATTTAGCTGAGAAATTAAGCACGACTTTTCAAGGTTTTTTCTCCCCACTTTGATTATATTTCTTTTTGTTTTTATTTACCCAAAGTGTTGTCTGAATTTTTTGTGGATTTTGTTTTGTGATCGCTTTGATTTAATTTGTGTTTGCTGGTTTCCTAACATTTCAAGTTACAACTATATGGACAAAAAAATCCCAAAAAACCAAGAAAAAATAGAAACAATAAAATGTTATAATAAATCAGAGCTGCGATGACAGATTAATTAAATTTATTAATTTATGGCAGGGGCTTAAATTATTCGCTTTATAAATTACTCACCTAGTGCGGATTTTATTGTTTTGTTTTGTTGTTGTTGTCTTTTTGCTTCACAGTTTTTTTGTTTTGTTCACTACACTGAGCTTGGCTTTTTGTTGTATTTTTTGTGAATTATTTTCTCTTTTTGCCAGCGAACTCACTTGAAAATTCTACTAATTAAAAAACTTAACACGTACCGCAGAGCATTTGTATTTTTCGGCTATAAGTTTTTGGATTTTGGTTTTTTGATTTTCGATTGTCGCTTTCTGCTTTTTGTTTTTTCCGTTTCACGCGTTTGCCAATGCTCACGGCGGCAGCTCGTAGCCAACTGAGCGGTCTTAGCCAAGTTAACAGCGGCCCAGAGCCGCGAACTCAGGGCAGAGAAAAGCAGAGCTTGGGTCAGAGCAGCGCTAAATAGAAAAAAAACAGAAAAAAATGATATTAGCCAGCCGGCTCTGATCTCCCGAAGCTAATCTCTCAATTTAGCCCGCTCAACTTTGAACTTTTTGGCCCGTGATTCATGTCGTTGGCTTTATGATATGTGCGGTTTTTCTTTCTGCCTTTTTTTTGGCCCGATTCAAGACCGGAAGTCCAGCGGTTTGGGCCATTCAATGTGACGCCGTCTTTATTTATTGACAACTTTTATTGTTTGTTTTACATTGTCGCCAATATGCGAACTGCAATAAAGTGAACTTATTTAAATTGTTAATTTTTTCGCGCTGCTCGCCAATTGTTGTTTGGCTTGTTGTTGTTGCTGCCGGTTTTGGCCCATAGAAACGATTCATTGTTCGGGGGGCGATGATTTTGAATTTTTATGGCCAATGAAGGTCATTTAACAGCTTTTATCTGTCGCAGATTTGTGACTGCTGCCGTTGATTCCATTTGATTTGATTTGGCGCTGCCTCCGGCGCAGACATTGAGTGTTTGGCAAGAAAAGGCTTTTAATGGCCAAGACCACGCACAATTGTAGGAGTTACCAACGTTTTTGTGTTTTTGCGAAGGCATTTAAATCAATTTTTGTGCGTTTCCAAAAGCAGGAATCGGGGATAATATGAGTAAAGGGGTATATTAGCTTAAAGGTATGATATTTTGCTAGATTTATTTAAACATTTTATGAGTAACGGTTTACAGAATTAATAATTATTTACTTAGTTTCACAAAAATAAGAAAGCGATGTTCAATAATTTCTCTTTCAATTTATTTTAAATATTCCATATTCATGAAACTACAAGAAGCGTGTACATAATTAAAGAAAGTAAATAAAACTTATGACTAATATAAAGAGGTCGATCACATTTTACACTACCTTTATCTTTTTAACAATTAAAAAACTAATAATGTTATACATTCGTTTTTTTAAACAGATCATAAGTATTTCCTTATAAAATTGATGTTATAAATTATATTTTAAAATAAGTTTTTCATTTAATTACTAACATTATTTATTAAAATTTTACTGAGCAGACTTTAAAAGTCTATAAATAAAAAAAATCAAATTTATTTTTTTTTTTTAACAGATATTTACTTATATGTTTATATACTTTTTTTACAGGGTATTCCTTAGTTCACCTCCAAAAATCTATACCATTATTTATGTTAACAGCTGATTGCCAATAGGCAATGTCCCATAAAGCAAAAGATTTGCACTCTCAAATCTTCCGAGGCGTTTTTGGAATTTTATCCGTCGCCTTGTTGGTTTAATTTTTTCGGTTTTTTCGGCTTCGATTTTATTTTGGCACAGCTTTCACAAAACGGTCGAAACCTAGACCGCGAGGCAGAAAAGTACGGGAAAACCCTTGCCGAAATCACGATATTTTGTATTGGGGAGCTCCCGAGCTCTTATCGAAAATGGTTTTTAATGCGTTTTTAAGTCAAATTAGTGACTTCATCAGTCTGCCGGCTGGTCGGCCGAGCAGGCTCAGATTCGATTTGAGATTCACTTAAGCCGCTCATTAATCAAACTCCGGCGCCCAAGGTATCGGGACCAAAGTCATTTTATAAAACACCAAACTAACGCGTAACCATATGTAAGGGCCACTCCTCCAAACTGCCCACCGCCTCCACCGCCGTTTTAGGGCTTAGCTGCAATTGCGAAAGGGTTAATTAGAGGCTGAGTCTGGCTGGCCATCTCAATGCCATCATCATCATCTTCGATTGGTCCGTTGGCCAACGAAACCATTAAAATCGTCTTCTGCTTTTGCCCCGGGCCAATTTCATACCAATTCATACCTCTGTCGCATTATTTTTGTCTAACCCACTAACCCGTCGAACGCCACCCGCTGCCCGTGACGTAATCGTAATAGCTGTTTTAACCCGGTTTGGAGTTGGCTTATTTTATGAGTTTCCTCCTCCCAAAAAACAAGAAACGTTTCAAAGTCGCTCCGAAAACGCTAGAAAAACGCGCGCAAAACGCCTTATTGGTTGTGATCTGCGATTAGTGACTGACAAAAGCTAAATTATTTTGAATGAACTCTTGGAAAAACAAATAAAAAACTACTATAAAATATTAAAAAATTATATTAAATTTGATTTTTTATAGCCAAAAAAAACGGTCTTTTTTCAATTTTCCTTAAAAAATTTCATTTTTTTGTCCAGAAGAAAGGTAAAAATTGTCCTAATATTGAAGTAATACCGCGCTGAGCTCGCAATATAGTTTCGAACCGTTTGGCATTAAAACCTGCCAACTTTAATTTTTGACAATTTTTTGCTAAAAATTGTGATGTAACCCCTTATCAAAAATACAAAAATTGGCAAAATATAAATTTTTTCGAAATCTAGCCGCAATATGTGGGTCGACCTTTTGGCTTTGGCACTAATTTTAACAGAATTACGATGAAAAAAAACAAAAAAATCGTATTTTAACCTATGAATTGATCACCATTTTAATATACATTTTTTACATATATTTTCTTTCTAAAAATATTTTAAAACCAAATTTTAAATCTCTAGCATTTTATTTTCCCAACCCATATCTTTTGACAGTTAATAAAATAATGTAAAATTATGCTTTTGTTAATGTTTAAACGCTTTTCTCATCTTGCCTCTCCGTTTTGCGAATAGCACACTATAAAATCTAAAAAAATCTGAAAACAATTCGTGCCGGGTGTTCTTTATGATTGTTTAGCCATAACAGCCTCCTCCTGTCACTTAGGGCATAATTTATATTCATGACTGGTCAAGGCGGCTAAAAGAAAACTCAAGGTGGGGGAAAAGACAAAGGGCAGCAGAAACTTTTCACCACATGTCCTTCAGATAAACAGAATAGCACAAAAGAAAAACCATATGTCTGGGATTTCAGCACCATAAACTGCCTGTTTCTCCCTCGTCTACGCCTGTCATTTAAACTAAATGCCCATAAATAATGAGAACTTAATAAGTCTCAATGGCTGTCATGCAAAACATTTTCCGAAAATGCCTCAACAAATTTGGCACGAACATTTTAAGCGTTTCATCAAATCGGATAGGAGATAGGATTTTATTGGATTTTTTAGTTAGTTATTATTCACATACTTATGTAATTTTACAAATACGAAATATTTTCATATTGTAATATTTTGTAGATATTTATTTAATTTAAAAGTCAATAAACTTGTTCTGAAATTTTGAAATTTATGTAATAATTAATAATATGCTGATTTACAAAGTGAACCTTAGTTTAAAACATTTGAAATTTTAAAATAAATTTAATTTTTCTAGACTTACATTTTTATAATTTCCACTATAGAGTTGGAATAAATATGAAATTAATATTTTTACAGAATAGATGCTTTAATACAAAAACAGTACAATAACTCGCTTGTTTTTTTTTCCGCTTGAAAACTCAAATAAAATGCCTAGTAATACCCCATTCAACCCCCATTTGCGTACGCGCTTTTCCCGTTGCCTCCGCCCCTGCTGGCGTTTCGAAAGGCCGCCTGCTCGTCAGCTGGCCGCAAACTCACCACGACGCCGCCGTCGGCAGCGACGGATCCGGCTGCAGTGGCTCCGGCGGAACGGAACAGCGGAGAACGCTCTCAAAAGCGCTGGGCCACAGCTGAGAACGGACGTGGTGGGTGTGCCTCCGGTCGTATGCTTGATATCCCAACAATCGACGCCTCGGTGGCCGTCGTGTTTGTGCTTCTGTTTGTCGTTCTGTCGGTTGGTCACTTGGTCAGTTGGCCAGTTAGTCAGCAGCTGGCCATCAACTGTTACCAATCCAAATGCAACTCCTGGCCAAAAAAGAAATATAAATAATATAAAGTGTGTGTGCTCGCGGAAATTCGTGAAAAAATGCCAAGAAGTCAATGAGGAAAAATTAAAAATTTCGAAAATAAATCAAGTGTGACAAGAGAGAGATTTCCGAGGCGCGAGAGAAAGCGGCGAAAAAGAAAGCACAAATACCGAAACGTATAATCTGAAATCTAAATTTCTAGTGACGCGTTTAAAAGTGCAGAAAATGTGGCCATCGCAGTCAATCAATTGATTTTTCTTTCTTTTGGGACAGAAAGAAAACTCTAAGATATTTGTGTCTCTTCCTTTTTTGGGGTCACAGGACATTAATAATGCCAAGGCAGCATGTTTTTTTGGGGGGAGGGTTCCTAAGTATCGCCAAAAACTACAAAACAAGATATGTTTATCTGGGTAACGAAACAAATTGCCAAACGGAAGCCCCGAAAAGCAGGCAAAACCGGGTCAGATGATTGACAATGGTTAAAATGGGGGTTGCTACTTAGTTTGGCGTCAGGCGGGAAAAGTCGGAAAATTGGGAAAAGCCAGACAACAGACGCGGCGTCGCAATAATCATAAAGGCAATAACAACACGGCCCAAAGAAATCATAAATTCATGTGTCAGCGATTTGGGAGTGGGGGGTCTTCTAGAGGGGGTTCTTCTAGGGGGTTAGAGTCACCCCCTGATTATTCATTCATGGCTCGTAATTAGCCGAGTAGTTGCAGTCGCCTGAATTATTTGGCAGCCACAACGCAACTTGGCCAATTAGCCGCTTAAAAGATATACACAAAACAACAAGAAAGACAGGTGGGCAGCACACAGCACACTTTTCGCTTGACTAAGGTCAAAAGTTGTCGCTTTAGTCTCCAAAAAGATACAAAAACAGAAAAAATAGAACCCATCTGAACTTGATGCTGTCGCTGAGGCTGCCGACGCATCGCGAGGCTATTTCGGCTATTTTTAACAAAAAAGCACGCCCGCACGGCCAATAAATTTCTAACCCAGAAAATGAAAAGCCAAAAAGAAAAGTCGAAGAAATAAAAACACATATACGTAGTCGTAGACATTCATATTAATTAAACTTTGCAAGTGGAAATCTACTTTGAAAACTTCAAAACTCATTTCTTTCTTTTTTCGGGGCGGAATGTAGTTGTCAAAACGCACGCACAGCTCGGGGAAAACAAACCAGCGGGAGAGAGAGAAAAATCCCAAATAAGAGAGGGAATTTTCCGAGAGAGAGAGCGCGAGAGAGAGCTACGCTTTTCCAGGAGGTTTGGTTTCGTTTCGTTTGGTTTTTCGGCCTTCCAAAATAACACATTCCTCGTACAAAGGATTCGCTTCGCATTGACATTGGAAGCCTCTCGGCTTTCCGCTTTTCCTGCTCGAGTTTGGAGTTTCAGTTTCAGTTTCCCCGACGCTTTTCAGTTCGTGGCTAGACTTTGGAGCGTGCTGTGCTAGGGAAAAACTGTGTGCGTGAGCAGCGGAAAATCGGAAAAGCCTCCCGTCACCCCCCGCCCCTTTTAAGACACACACTTTTACACACCGCATTTTCTACACCACACACATAAAATCGAAACAATGGCAAAACAAAACAACAGAAAATATAATACCGAATTGAAGTTCATTTGAATTGTGAGTGTCGGGGGCCGCCGCTGAAGAAAAAGTGTTTTCCTTTTCCCTGTCGGTGAAGCAAGGCGTGTACCACCCATAAAAAGTACGAATACAAATACAGTGGGGAAAAAATAAGAAAAGTGGGGAAAAGGAAAGAAAAGGCTCGAAAGGCAGACAGATAGGCTGGCGGAAAACGAAAAATCCGCACTAGGACTACTGGCCACATTACCATAATAAGTTTTCCATTGTAAAATTAAATGCATAAAAATAATACCCAAAACAGTGTATAATAAAATGAGTTTTCTTTTGTTTTTCCAGCGCGTGTGTCTGTGACAAATATTTTCCTAAAGATAAATACAAAAATTCCCCCTAATACAATCGGAAAATGTAAAATAAATATATTCCTATGCTATAAAAAATAAACACAAAATCAAAAACAACAAACTTAATCAACGCTTAAACAAAACTCCTAAACTAAAACTAAAATACGCAAGTGAAGTTATTACTCTTTAGTTGGTGAGTAAAGTTATTATACTAAAAATTTTATATTTTGAAGAAAAACATTAAATAATATTCCGCTAAATTTATTATGATTTCCTTACGCAACGAACTAAATTAATTATGTGAAATCATGAACTTACTTTTACACTATTTCCTGCATACTTTCCTTTATGAATTTATGCTAATGCAATCGATATTTCGGCTCGTGCCGCACTTTTGCCAACTTTACGAGTCAATTAGCGTTTGTAATTCGACATGCTACTTACTCAGGTTTTTCATACAATTTCATGAAGCCCTTTTCGCATTCGAAATGGGGGTTTTTTATCGGCCACAATTACCCGAGCTGCGCAAACACATTTCCCAAGTTGTCAAACGGCCTTAATGGCACCTATGCGGGATCTGCCCCCAAAATACCGCCCCCAACCCAGATAAGGAATAAAAATAATAAAATACTCATGCTAGTTGACAGACAAGCCAATAATCAAGTGATGTGCCGCAAATATTGTGATAAGGCGGCGCTATCCACCTCGACATTTTCGCCCTTTTTTCCCACCTGCAGCTGAAAGTTTTCGGGGAATTTATGGGGGGGAGGTGGAAATTCGGCTGGCTGGGGCCATAAAGTATACTTAGTCCAAACATTGTTCGCAGGTGATAAAATTGCTTTGGATGTGTAAACAACAACAGTGCACGCTTCTTAATGGCTTGCCAATTTTCGGTACCGTGTTCGGAAGGCGTGGCATCCACATCCAGAGCAATTTGGCCAAAGTGAAAGGTTTCCAAAGAGATTGAAGGGATTGCCGGGAGCGAGTCAGGCGGAAAAGCCTGTTAGAATTATGGAAAAATCAGTAAGTGCACTCGAACACGCTTTTGTAATCTATAAATCAGCTTGAACTAAATTGAAAGTAGGTAAACATGTTGTCCACCCATAACAAAATAAATGTATTTCAATTTCCTAATAAATTCAGAATATTGTTCTATATAAAGAGCTCTCTAAATTATTTTAAGACTTTATAAAACTTCAATCATAATAGGTTTTATGCTCTGAAGACTCTTAGAGTAATGAAAAGCCTATGATCCAAAATTTGGCGCCCAACGTGGGGCTTAAACAAGAATTTGCAACTGATGGCTAAATAAACCCACTTAAAATCTGTTATGATCATCAAAAATCATAAACAAATCTAATGGAGTTATAAGCCACAGAAACTGATAAGTCAAAAACAAACGCTCGCAAACTAAAATAGAACTCAGAAAGCTATTTCCGCATATTTCGCTGTATTTGTTTGGCTTTATAATAATCCAGTTTACTACCCAGTTGCGAATATCTTTAGCTGCCATTCAGCCAAAAGTTGGTCCTGAAGGTTCGCCATAAATTCAGTCTTCGGTCTGCGCGTTTGTACTTATTTATCTTTGCACAGTTGCCAGTTAAGAGCTATGAATTGTGCTGGCTGTCGAAATAAATACCAGACCGTTGCAGTCTGACATTTTTATGGCAGTTTCAAATTATTCAGCACTAGGAAAAAGGCAAAAGTAGGGACTAGATGTGGGAAAGTAGATGCTGAATGAAAATTCCATAGGGCATTTGTTTTGCTTTTTTTTTGGTTTGTCAATTCTCGAAGTAAATTGCGGCTTTCAAATATATATTTGCACATTTGTTGTGGCTTTAAATGATTTGTCAACTCATTGAGCACATGGTATTTTAGCCAAATAATGATTAAAGAAAACGGAGAAAGTATTTGCTAATGTTCATGGCCCATTAGGCTTTTATTAGAGTTTGCCAAGTGTGGCATCGCTTATTTGGACCATTAAAGTAGTTAACTGGATTTGAGGCCACCATGGGATCCCCTATCCATCCGTTTTAGTTTCTTCTTTTTGCCTCGCCTGCACATTACTTATCCCGGATGTGCTTTTTTCGGCCTGATGACGTGCATACGTCGAAGTTCGGGCTTATCTTGCCCCTTTTTTTCTATACTCTATACTCTAGACCTCCGGATTGTACCATATCCATATCCCATTCCCCCAGAATTTTTACCATTTTTACCACCACTTGAGCGGAGTCAGCGAAGCGCGCTTCCATTCATGTTTGAGGGCACATAATCAATATTTGGCAAGCAGCCGAATCGCATATGACAAACAGCGACAGGCCCGAGAACTACGCGATATATGTATGGTATAGGGGAATATATGCACTCAAACAAAAATTTTAGAAAATCGCCTATGGATTTGCTTTACTGGCGATTTTTTTCTATATTTCTGGAATATTTCTTGAATTTAATGAATTTTGATTAATTGGAAGAAAATTTTCTTTACCAGTAGAAAATTTTTTTATTTTAAAGAAAAAAATCGCCAGTGAAGCAAATCCATAGGCGATTTTCTAAAATTCAGGGCGATTCATTTTCTGAGTGTGGTATATGGGTTGGTACAAGTATAAGTGTTACGGGGCCCGAAGGTCCAAGGAGGATTGCCATCCCATCAGCAAAGTGCATCAGCCCATTGAATCCTGAGGCCTGAGTGGGCATTTGATGATTTACAAAAACGGATTTTGTTTTTGCCAGCAATACTCTTTTGCATAAATAAAGCAGGCAGAGTGGAGTTGATTTGCTGCTAAGTTCCGCATTGAGAGGCAAATTGTTATACCCGTTACTCGTAGAGTAAAAGGGTATACTAGATTCGTGCAAAAGTATGTAACAGCTAGAGTATATATATTCTTGATCAGGGTCACTAGCCGAGTCGATCTAGCCATGTCCGTCTGTCCGTCTGTCCGTCTGTCCGTCTGTCCGTCTGTCCGTCTGTCCGTCTGTCCGTCTGTCTGTCCGTCTGTCCGTCTGTCTGTCTGTATGAACGCTGAGATCTCGGAAACTAAAAAAGCTAGAAGGTTGAGATTTCCCACACATATTCTTTGGCTTCCTACGCAGCGCAAGTTTATTTTAGCCGAGCGCCACGCCCCCTCTAACGCCCACAATCGCCCACTAACGATTTTAGAATGGGTCCTGCGCCCACATCCTTAAAGATTTCCGATAAGTATAAATGCAATTTTGTTGTGTATGTTTATACCTATCGAAATGTAGAAGACACTTTTTAAATCGGACTATTCATTAAAAAGTTATACGCAATCAAAATTTCTATATCTATCTCCCTCGCACTCCCTTTAGCTGAGTTACGATTATTAGTCGGGACACCAACCCGACACAGCGTTCGCACTCCCTTTAGCTGAGTGACGGGTATTAGATAGTCGGGACACCAACCCGACTATAGCGTTCTCTCTTGTTTTAGTTGGTTTTGATTGAAAAGGTAGGAAAAATAGTTTGGGTCATTGGAAATAAGCAGAGCTTTAGTTTAGAAACAGGATCGGAATTTTAGGAGGTTTTTAGTGGTTTTCTGGACAATCGTATATTAACAACAACCTAACTATTTCCATCACTTTGCAAAGGTTTTTTTTTGACAAATTTGTCGAACTTTTGTAAGGGGTTACATCACATATTTTTTGCAAAAATGGGTAAAAATAAAAAGTAGCAGTTTGAATGGAAATAGTTTGGGAATTAAATTACGAGCTCAAAAAAGTATTACATTTTTAATTGTGACCTTATTTGGCAAAAAATGGGGATTACAACTTTTTGAAACAATTAAACATTTTTTTTTAAGGATATATCTATAGATAATACACTTGTATGTTAGAATTAAGGTATTGTTTTATAAGACAGTATCTAAAAACACTTTTTTAAAAACCTTTAAGTTCAGATATCAGAATCTTATCATAGATTAATATTTTATATTACTAAACTTATAAGGAATCTTACCACCAATGTTTTAAAATATGAAATATATTTTCAGTGATGTTAATTAGCTATAAATTATGGTACTTTTTCTATAAGAGTATCTACGATTCCCCTTCATGAAATTGCACCGTTTAAATCCGCTTTGGGCATGGCAAATCAACTTCTTGTCGGAGTCGCTAGTTGAGCTTTGTGCAGCTCCCCGAGGCGATAAAAATCAATGGCAGTGGCAGTCAGCGAGTCGCAGGCTACGGATATTATTGCCCCGTAGTTTTTGGCACACATGCAATGCCACGCTGCCTACTCCTTCGCTTTCTCCTCCTTTGCTTTCTCCACCACCCACTTTCTTTTCTCCTTTTCCCGGAGCGTGGGAGTTCAAAAGTCGCCGCTCTGCTCTGACATGGGCCGCAAAGTGCATTCTGTATTCTGCAATCGGCATTCTGCATTCTGCAGGTGCAAGATTTTTTTCTGGGCGTGGGCGTTACCCGGCGCTCAGACGACAACACAATTGGATTTAAGGCAAGATGACAGCGACTGCGAAAAGCGGGCGAAATCATGGAAATGGCTGCCTGAGCAGTCAAAACTTTTGGGCTTGTTGTCCCCCTTCTTTTCTTTTCCGTTTTTTTTTGTTCCGCCGAGCCCTGTTTGTCAAGGCAGAGCTGCCAAGAAAACGGCAGCGCGCCACAAATTTTCCCTTTCAATTGGACAACTAGAGCGGCAAAGGGGGTCAAGACGAGTAAACACTTGTGCAGTGAGAAAAAATTGTCAAACGAAAATTCTGAAAATGTTTTCAAACAAAGTAGCAGGCAATGTTTAGAGTTAAAAAAACCTTTTTCTGATTTAAAAAATCGTACAATATTCTAAGATTTTACTAAGGTTTAAAACTTAACTTATTGTATATTATATTATTATCATAATATCATCTGAATAAAAATTAATAATTTAATTATTATGTGCTCCATGTTGATTTATTAAAGTGATGTATTGATTCTATTTAACCAAAGGATGAAAAATATTTAAAGTTTTCAAGTCATGCAGTTTTAGCTGACGTAAAGTCGTCTCGTTTTTTGAGAGCTCTTTTATTAGTAACTTTGTAACTTGTTTCTGTAATTTCTTGTCTATTTTAAATCCTGCCTTCCGCTCCATTCCTTCCAATTAATTCCATTTCCTATTTTGGTGTCGCTTTATATATGATCCTAAATTTTCGCTCACTGTATAGAATCTCCTCCCGGGCTGTCACAGACT